ATAGCTCGTGTATGACCATATAGATTTCCAATATGGCCATATAGAATAAGCATATGCAAAACTTATCCCGGCCAGACACCGCACACTCATCCTTCCGATCCAGGACACCTCTCTCCACGCACCTCCAGGCGCACAAACACCGTTCAGAGAGAGTGAGCACAACACACCGGATTGAGCGCAGCTCGTATGGCGTGAGAACCACCTATTTCATTTTCTGGAGTGTAAAATGCAACTCTTCAACCCCCTCCACGCCTTTCAACACACAACACCACTGTACGCGTGTGTGTGTTTATAATTTTCACCACAACAGGCCCTGTTCCACCCAGATAAGTATATCCAAAATCGAAGCAGCCCTCTTTTTTTTTTTTTTTTTTTTCGCAAAGAAGTCCAGGTGGTTGTGGAGGCTAGCCACCAGGAATATGACAGTCCCTTCAGCAGTTGGCCAATTGATCATCCAGATGATTTTCCTATGCAGGCCTGCTATGAGACTCCCTCCCACCCTTTCTCATCATTACTGTCCCCGGCGCATCCCTACTCCAAAGGTTCAACCTTAATTTTTTACCACCCAGGATCATCACCCTTTTCTAGTGACCTGACCGGACAGTGGTTATAGGCATCAGGGCTAAGCAGGTCCTCACCTCCCTCCCCAGCCCCTGATTGAAACATAGTCAGACAAGCCTGTTGTATGGGTACTCTGAGCGCTAAGGGTACACATTCGACTACAAGTTCCATAGGTGAACCCTTTTTCCTTGTTAGAGAGATCCTAGCCTTTTCGTCATCAGATCCCTCTGGTTATTATCTTGAATTCTATGTTCTTGAACCCTTTCCTATCGGAGGTTGTTCTTACCTACAGCATCTCCAGTCTGTCTTCAGCAGGCTCACGTCCACAATCCACTCCCCTTACCTCTATCATCAACTGGGTCTCTAGGTAAATTTTTAATCGTTCCCAGAGACAGGCGAGTGGCCTCTTGGCACTCCCCTTCAATTTTTTTCTTATAGATTGAAAAAATATATAATATCTGCACTTCCCTTTATTTTTTCTCTTATAGATTGAAAACATACTTGCGGCACACTTCTGTGGTGCGCCGTGCGCAAATTGATGATGCACTGAATTTTTTTTTAATTTTTTTTTAGGGATGTCTGTGTACACACACACACACACACACACACAGAGAGAGAGAGAGAGAGAGAGAGAGAGAGAGAGAGAGAGAGAGAGAGAGAGAGAGAGAGAGAGAGAGA